CAGTCCCGTCAATGTATTAACATGTTTTTCAGTGTCACTCATTGCTTTATAAGATTGGTACAGCTCTTTCACGCCAAACACACAACACGTGACTTATTAAGTGCAACAGCACATCACGACAGTAGCAAAGCCTGGGAATGGTAAGCAAACATTATTAATCCCACCTGTAGTTTTCTGACTATGACATGTAAAAATGTATTCTGCAAAAAAGCCTATTGCTTTTCTGGCAGCGACGAGTCCTGTTATTTTCACTGTATAATTAATTTAGTTATAATAAACCAGTGGGAAAACTACATAACAGAGCTTAAAGTTGATAGCCAACAGTCCTCAACTCAAAGACATTGCTTTTGTTCAGCTCACTTTATATACACTGCCCGACCAAATTAAAAGTCACACCTGTACAATTGTATGCACTTCAATGCAACACTTCCCCCTTAACATGTTTAACTTTGACCTTTAACTATGACCTCAATATTAAATATATATTTGAATTTATACATTTTATGAGAACTTAACTAATAAATGTAACATTCTGAGTTTCATAAATGCATGTTAAGGCTTAAGTGTTGCATTGAAGTGCATGCAGTTGTATAGGTGCAACTTTAAATTTCGCTGGGTAGTGAAATAATAGAAAGGTAGAAAATCCTTATTTGTATTTTTAATTTTAGATGAACCCAGAAAGGCTTTGGCCTTTTTGCTTGACACGTTACTTCAGGCAGTTATCAAATTAGTTGGTAGTTAATGTTTAACTGACCAACCATTACAGAGCTGTTATTAATTGTTTCCACTCTTTAAAATTGTAAATGTGGCCAATTCAAAAGAAACTCCCTCTCAGGCATAGTTACACCTTTAAAGTGTTGCCCTACTGGCTCACCTCATGTGGCCCAGAATCAGAGCTGCAGTCTAAAATGTAACTAGAACAATATGGAAAATGAGAAAACATGGCTCCACCTCCTTGGACACACATCTGTTTGAGGTGTAGTGGAGTAGAAAGAGCTGCCAGACACAAATTGTCTTTTCATTTTGCTGTGCTGTGCCTCACCTCACTTGGTTTTGTGTCTCTTGTCCTTATAATTGCATGTGTCAGTGAGGTTAGTGTGTCCAGCAGCTTTGTTTTTCCTGGTCCTCTCTCTTGGATGTAGTTGCCTCTGGCTGTGGTTGACAGTGGGATTTTCTGGGATGACTTCATCCACTGCTGTATTGTACTACATGGGAAACCATGTTAGGTCAACTGTGTGCTGTAACCTCAAGCTACAATTGCTGGCACACTCACACACTTAGAAACACTAACAGAGCAAGAGCCAAGGTCCTCACCTCAACCTAGACCATCTCTTTCATTATCTCATTATCTCTCTTTATTTTACTAAGTCCATCCAGATTAGATCTTTTGAGTTCCATTCATTCCATCTTTCTCACTGTGAAGTTTAATGACTCTGGGTCAAGTTCTGTCTGTACACCTTTCTCACTCTCTGTCATTACATGCAGGTCAGACTGTGGTCTCAGAACAGAGGGGGTCTGTGGTTTCTGTAGTGATAAACCGGCCTGAGGTGCGCAATGCGGTAAACCACGAGACGGCGAGGCGTCTGCTGGAGGAGCTGAAGGCCTTCGAGAGTGACCCAGACTTGAACGTGGCTGTTCTGCATGGGAAAGGTTTGTGAATTAGAATGAAAATTAGCACTTCACTCTAGTCCAGGGAGACCAGGGGTATTTAAAAGTCCATGGGCACTTCATTCAGGCGAATATTTACATGCACACTACAGTGCTTTGACCTTGGTGTAAATCTTGTTGATTGATTTTTATCTTTAGTAACAGGCCAAATAGTTTCTGTGTTTTCTCTGACCTTTTTTTTTTAACCATTCAGGCTTAAAAGTGGCAGTGGAATTTTTTTTAGATATCATTAATTTCTCAATTTACACCTTAAATTATAAGGCCCATGATATTCTGTTTTAGGTTATGTTCCTCAAATTGCAGACAAACAAAAGCTAACAATGAATTTCATGCACTCATTGAAGTATCTGTAAATCCAGACCCTGGTTTAGGTTATTTCTCTGCACTGTAGACCTCTGTTGTCCAAAAATGATCAAAAACACACCAGTGTGTCACACCACTGAACTAGGTGACATGTAGAAAAAGCAGAGAACTAAAGGTTTAAAGTTTTGTCATCAGTGCCTAAAAAAGCCATTATTTTATGCAAGTGTCTTTGGATAAATTCCTCTGAATGGGACAAACTATTTAGAAACACAACGTGTTCTGTCAGCACTCCTATTCATTTTATTTTTAGATAAGCCCTGATTTTATTTATTTTTAAGTTGGACTGTGATCAATGTTATAAATTGTTTATTGAACAATTTAATAAAGATATATTCAGTTCAGTTAGCTTTTATTTATATATTGTCAGTTCACAACAAAAATCATCTTTACATAGAGAAAAATCCAACAAATCCCCTTGAGCGTCAGTGGAGAGGAAAAACTCCCTTTAATGGAAGAAACCTCTGACAGACCCAGGCTCTCGGTGGGCCGCCATAGTGCCTCGATTAGTTGGGGTCAATTGATAGAGGAGAGAGAAAAGGAAACCATCAGGACACAACAAACAAACACTGGTAGAATAGGGGAAGGAAGGAGAGATGGGGTTAGGGATTGGGGAAATTGAATTCAACTTCATGTAGCTTGAATAATTTCCACTATTTCTGTCACTGTACAGTGCTGCTTTGATGACGCATCACAAGCAGACCTAAAGTGAGAATTTATTTATTTGTTTTTAATCTTTCATTTTTGTGAGCGAAACATTCCCACAAAGTGGAACACTCAGCCTGGCAGTTTTAGGGACGTTGAGTATGCTAATCAAATCCCATGAACATGCACCTTCTTGTGAACAGGTGGTATTCATTTACAGCAAGTTAAGAGAGTGCAGTTAAGAGAGTTTGGTGAATCAGACTTGGAACATTTATACAAACAAAGCTCACTGAAAAAAGGAAGAGTAATTGGGGACAAAAATAGGAAAATGTTCTTGCATCATGCCAATTGTTTTGGCAAGTTAGACAGTATTAGGTGATTTTGTATGGTAATTTTTTATATGTATGGCAGAATGTTAAGGAAAACTGACTCTTTTCTCTGTTGCTGATTTTCATAGGGTGAAAAATATGTGGAAACCAGAAAGGGAGAACATTTCTGTAGTAGACCTGATCTGATGCAGTCATGGAAAGTCATGGAATGGTCCTTGAAAATTAGTTTTATTCCAGCTTGTTTTGATCCTTCCTTAACCCTTCATCTCTTTGTCTCCCCTGTTCTCAGCACTCATCCTACATTCTCCCACTCTCCGTTTCTTTTACCCAGTCTTTGCTCCATGGAGTCCTTAGATCTAGCCAAAGCACAGTGCTGACCAGAGTAGTGTACCCACACACAGAGTAGACACACACACACCTGTGGGGTGGCCTGCACTGTGTCAGCCGCCTAAAGCCAGAATCATGCCACGACTCCCAATACCTCTAAAAATAATCATTGCACACACTGAATGAACACCTTCCCTCAGTGGAAATAATGTCTTCAAGCTGGATCAAGGTGCTTGCTTTATAAAGTCTTTTACCTCAAGAGACACAAGTATGTACTTCAGAGGCTGGAACCTCTCCAGATGATGGCTGCTGAGCGCAGCATGTGTTGCAGAGTAATTAACTCATTAAATGAGTAAGCAATGAGTAGGTTGTTCCTGTGATTCCCAGTGTCTGTTGGTTTTAATCGTGGAGCTTTCATACAGTCTAAATTGTTAACATTTTTCGATTTAGTGGGATATAAGACTGCAGTGTTTATGTATAAAGCCAGGAACAATTTATTACCTGGTGGAATTCAAAAACTATTTAATGAAAGGGAAGGGGGATACAATTTAAGGGGTCAGTTAAATTTAAAAATTCATGCTATACGTACAACCAAAAAAAGATTTTGTATTTCCATAAGTGGGGTAAAACTATGGAATAATTTAAGTGTGGACATAAAAAATAGTAATAGAATTGACGAGTTTAAACATAAATATAAAGGTATGTGTCAATCAAGATATATGCAAGAACAGGTTTAATGATTAATTAGATGGAACATTGTGGGTGTGGTGTATGAATGATAATACTCTGTAATAATTCTTTAATATATTACTTGTGTGGTGTAGAAGAATTTTAACACTGTTTATTCTTTTTTTAGTATAATATGTGTGTGGGTAGAAGTGAATCATTTACTGCTTGCAAACCAATGATGGTAAGATGATGTCATGGGGTAGGACTGGATAAGTCTGACTTCTTCCTACTCCATTCAAGCATGTACTAGGTATAAGAAAATTGATATTGGATTATGTGTAAAATTATGTGTGTTGTCATATCAACTGTTTTTACATGCTTGAAAGAATAAATCAAATCAAATCGTCCCCCGCGCATTCCTGTCAGTAGGTTGTCCTGTAACGCTGCTTCATTAAAACTGACCTTCAGTGGTTTATAGCAGACTGTGAGATGAGATGACAAGCACAAAGGTTTTAGTTTGAATGTGGTGTTTCTGAAAACATAAGGAATTAATTTTGTTTAAATTGGCACCAACACAGTCACTCTCTATTCTCATTTTTCAGTATTGATGATTTTTGCTTTACTTCTGAAATTAAGAGTAGGATTTTGAATGTGCTGCCACATAATGTGAGGGTTTGAGATTTGGGTTTGTGTGAGCATTTGTGGTAGGGTACAGTGTAGATGTCAATGCAGCTGTGTCACTAAAGGCGCATGTTCAACTGAACTGAGATGAAGCCACTCTTACTGTTTGTAAAGCCTCTCTAGTCCCATAAAAACACGTTGTATAGTCTTAAAAGTAGCATTTTCCACATTCACATCAAGTGACAAAAGGAAAAAAAAAACAACTCCAAGACATAGCTGTGCATTTAGTTTTGGTTTATTTGTCAAGATTATGGGAAATTGGCTCAAACATAAGTGAATGGAATTTGGCTTGTTGTTATCAATGCTGTGGAAAATGACACTATAGAGAATTTAGCTGCAGCATCTCTTTTTTTAAAGGGACCAGCTTGTGTTACAGTTTATTAGAGAGATGTTGAGGTCTGGTCCATGTGCTGGTTGAACAGGTTCTTGTACATGAAACTGGTAAAACCAATTCTTGACCTGCCTTTATGCACAGGGCATTTTTCAGACCAGACATTTAGTCTTGTTATAGTAGGAAAACCAATAGTAGGTGTTACCTATAACATTAGCATTGTTCTAGTCAGGTGTCCCAGTAGTCATGACTGTGTGACAGTGAGCCAACATAGACTGAAAAATTAAGTAGTGATTTAGCACTACTTAATTTTTCAGCCTCTTGAAAGTGCTCATGTCAAACTTACTCAGTGTTCAAGTAATAAGTAAATAGAACATGCGTCCATTTCAGGTCACTATCAAACTTCTTCTAAGACACTAAATAATAGTTAAAAAGCCTCCATGAATGAACTGGCTCTTCATAGTTTCTGCTGTTTCCTACTAAGACAAAGGTGTTTTCTACTCCCATAAACAGCATGACAACACTGTTTTTCTATAATTGCCCTACACTGACCCCCAGCTGTAATCAAAGCTCCCACCTGATAGGTGTTGCTGGCACTTGTGTCCATTATAATCAGTTTCATTACCGTTACATTACAAAGAGAGAAGAGTTTCATGAGTCTCAGCCTGAGCCTGTGACACGATGTTTGCAGGCCTCTTGGGCAATGTTGTAATTACCTCATGAATCCAATAGAAGGGGCTGCTGTTGAAGTATGTTAATCTTCCATTAATGAGAATATTGTGTATGTGCACATGTGTGTTTGAGCACATGCATGATCTATGACTATGCATTGCACTTAGGCTCTTGAGGAAAGAGAAGCATTTGTGTGCCAGCCAGCCCAAAGCAAGTTTCTGTCCAAACTGCAGTCCTCGAACTCAAGTTCAGCTTGTAGTTTTTTTTTTCATCCTCATCATTTTCCCTTCCTCTCTGACTTACTGTGTAATTTTGTGGTTTCTTCCAGGAGGGAATTTCTGTGCTGGTTATGATCTAAAAGAGCTCGCCAATCACACAGGCCCCATCAAATTTGAGCAAGATGTCACCAAAACTCCTGGTCCTATGGTGAGCACTGTTTGGATTGTGTGTGTGTGTGTGTGTGCGCTCATGAGGGTTATATCAGTGTTTCCTTATGATACTGGGGAGGGCTTAAGCTCTCTATAAAACATAAAACCAGAAATGTGGTCAGAAGTGATTTTTAGCGGAAGTATTTTTAAGGGTTTGAGAAAACAGGTAGTGGTAAGGATTTGGGTTTAGGGAATGACACAGAATCAGTGGAATTGTCTGCAGAAAGCTTTCTGTTTTGCACACTGCTATCACTTGACAAAAAGGATCCTAATACAAATTAGCTGCAGCCTCCATTAAAAACTGTTTGGATTGTGTGTTATTCCTTAGGGATTGAGTGGACCTCCTGTGCAAAAAAATCATAGTATTGTATTTCTTACAGAATACACAGTGCTTCATTTGTTCAGCAAAAGCCAGAACGTGGACCATTTGTTTCCTTTTTGTTTGGCAGTTTCGGAAACAAATAAGGAAATAAAATCTGGAACATTTCAGCAGAGAAACCATGGAGGTGATTATTCAATTGTGTGATCCTTTCGGAGAATGTAGTTTGTGGTGGTGTTGAGCTGTGCTGCAATATACAGAGCTGTTATTTAGCCTAGCCTCACTCATATAAATGGGGTGGAAAAATAATAGAAACACTTGTCCTTATAATGTAATGCAATTGAACAGCTGCACAATCTGCATCTTCCAAAATGATCAGGCAGTTGAATCAACAGCTCTCCTGTATAGAACAAAAGCAAAACATTATCATCTTCATGAAGGAGGATTTAATACAGGATTGTTGATTAGATTGACTTAGTTTTAGCAAGGTGTACCTAATAAACTGACAACTGTGTATATATTGACTTAGTTTTGACAATGTTTCTTTATTTCAGAAACGGTGCTGTTGCTTAGCTTAACAATGGGTGTTCCCTCTGCTTTTGCTTAAATATAAGATAATGGATTTGCTTGTATAGTGGGTACTAATATGGATGTTTTCTCTAGGGTCCGTCCCGTTTGCAGCTGTCAAAGCCGCTGATCGCAGCAGTGAGTGGTTTTGCTGTGGCTGGAGGGCTGGAGCTGGCTCTGCTGGCAGATCTGAGAGTGGTGGAGGAGAGCGCTATCATGGGGGTGTTCTGTCGCAGGTTTGGTACGTCTGACAACTCCTCATACTGCTACCTGATCTTTACTGTACTATGATGTACTGTTCTGCTACCGGTAGTGGGGATAGGGCCCTGCCTAAGGCCACTTCTGTGGTGGTAGCAGCTAAAGATGGGGCAGGCACTGCTTGTTCTCTTTCTCTCCAGAGTTTCCTGCTGGTGCACTGACTGAATTCTAACATTTAGGTTATGAGCTTACTTCACTGAGACTTCAGCAGTTAATACATGTCATATTTTTTTCTTCTGCTACTTTTCCTATGACTGCTACTACGGACTCTTATTCTACTTAATGCTACTACAATAGTTTTAGTACGTCTACAATCCCCCCATGATAAATACCACACTGTACTACTATGATAACACCAACATTAGTTCTAACTATAGCCCCTTTATCACAGAGATTGGAGAAAACTGCCAGTATTCTGACCCTCCTTCAAGGGGGCTTTTTAAGCCCTTTTACACTGAACTTAAAAAAGACGGCCAACTGCCGCTCCTGTGTTTGTTTTACACCACTGCCGGAATCCCGGTACTAGAGGTGTGATACTTATCATGATGCCCGATGGTCCGTGTACTTTGTGCCCAGTTTGAAAATAAAACAAAGGGGCTGTTATCTGATTTTGTTTGAGATATTTATTCATGGAAATTGGGAATTACAGTTCTATGTGCATCCAATGTCAGTAATGCATAATTAAATGTGACAAGGAATTGGAGAGCATTCATATGGAAGCTCAGTATATGAGTTAAATGATGTTTATCCATTATTTGGTGCCAAAGAGGGGGGTGTCAGACCATGTCATCATAAGACTTCAGAGCCCCACAATAAGCAACACCATTTTCCAGACCTAACCTGCCCTTAACACCAAGCAGCCCTGAACCTTATCCTCACCCAAGCAAAGACCCCAAATGTTGCTTGATACACAGCATCTGCATTGTATTCGCTCAGGTTAAGCAGTGGCTGGCCCAGCTGGCTTGTAATGGCAGTCACCTCTAGGGGCTGTACAACCATTGACACTGTTCTACCAAGATGGTCAAACAAAGAGGACTATTAACAATCCCACGGAGTTTGTAACTCACTGGCTGTGGGAGTGTAGGCAGGTCTACACTATGCTGCACTATCAGCTGGATACCTAATTACCACTTAGGCTATAGAAGAGCCAGGAGCCTTTTTAAAATGTGACTCTGTATTCTGCTTTATTTTCTGTTTTGCTGCTCCTTCTGTCTGTATGTGTTTGCTCAGCCAATTATCTGTCCTTGAAAGTGTGCTTGTGTTTGTCTTTACGTCCACGCATGCATGATCTGTCTGCTAATGCCAGGAAGTCGACAGTGTTTCTATTTTTCAGCTTTGTTACTCTGTCCTCTGTTATCACCCCAGCCTCCTCCTGTTTGTGTGTGAGGATGGAGTCGTAACGTGATAACACTAGTGACCATGGCCTTTTACCATCGCAGTCACAGTCTGCTGGGCAGTCTTGATAAGTAGAAGAGGAAGCAAGCAACTGCCAGGTTTCCACTGTGGGGCCAAACATATTATTTATGTCACACAATTTCCTCATAAATAACATTTTCCTTTTGTGCCGTCTTGCAGCTTACTTGCATGGTTAGCCAACTGTCTTGGCTGTAGTTTTAGAAGCACAAGTACTAGTTTGAATCTTCTCTTTTAAGCATTTTAAGTTAATCGTGAAGTATGTAGAAATGGCTCCTGTAGGACCATAGTAATATGTTTCAGATAGCTTGTCACTCCTTTAGCAATGCTGCTATAGGGCATAAAATACAACAGTGGTGTTTATAAACACCACTGTTGTGCTATAATTTACTGTCAGTACTAGATTTAGAGTGTAAACATGCAGGGATCATCACCCCAAGCCTGTAATTTAACAGGGGAGCATCCTGGCAATGCCTTTGTCTGTCCGTTCAGCCACGCCGTCTGGTGGCACGTCCTCACTGCCAGGCCACGCTCCAGCCTCTCTGCTGTGTCACTTTCTGTTAAAGTGTTATTTTAAACACTGTTATTTGGAATTCATCTTGAATTCTAGATTATATTGTATATTTGTGCTCTTAGAGCCTCAATTATGTTTTAAAATCTTATTTTTAGTTTTACTAAATGCTACCTGCAATTCAAATTCATGTTAGATCCTGACTGTCAAAAGAGTTGGGGCAGAAAACAAATACGAGTAAATAGGAATAAACACACAGTTTATTCCTATTTGAGTAAATAGGAATAAACACACAGTTTAGAGGAGACATGGGAAAAGCTGCATAATGCTTAGTAGTTTTAGCAATGAATTATCAGTGCACTCTGGACACAACCTGACAAACATCTTTCACCATATTTAAAACTGTACTCTGCATGTCCCTTTGGGCTGTCTAGCACTTGCACTCAATCCACTTTTATTGGCTCAAAACTGTGTTTAGGCAGCAGAAATAAGCATTGATGTGGTTTAAACACATTAAGTTGTTCATTTCCTCCCTGTAATAAATTCTCAACCTCTCATTTGCTTCACATCTTTAAGGCTTGTTTGTCACCAACCACATTTGAGTCGTTTCCTTCAGTTTAATTGAAACATTGTGGTTTATCTTTCATTTCATTTAGCAAAGCGATTATTACTTGAACTGTGGATTTTGAGTATTTTTATACCCATACACTGTGTAGTTGTGTACTGTACAGCCAGTATCTTCACCTCAATCCGAGTTTAGAAAAAATGGCTTTACAGTGGAAAATTATTTCCCTCCTCATTTATATCAGAAGTAGCACAGCTTTGTGTGATACACAGTTTATTTAAATATATTTCTTTATTTTTATTATTTTTGTTTATTTATTTATTTATTAGTTTATTTAATATCCGTCTTTTTCAAGGTGTCCCTGGTAGGCTAGTGGGTAAGGTGCAGTGCTCTCGCCGCTGCGGCCCGGGTTCGGATCCAGGTTGCGTCAGGAAGGGCATCTGGCGTAAAACACGTGCCAAATGTCAACATGCGAGTCATCAGTGTGATGATTCGCTGTGGCGACCCCTAAACGGGAAAAGCCTAAAGTGACTACTACTTTTTTGAAGTTAGACCTGACCAGGGCATCAGCAGCATTACAGGTTTCAGAAAGGACAACACAACAGCTAACACAGTAGTAAAATAGACTAAAAACCTGGTGACACTGCATAAAAGGTCAAATAGAATAAGAATAGAGGACATGAAAGCAGCTGTCAATATCAGGAAAGCTGAAAGAGAGACAGTGGTCATCTACAATCGAGTTTATAATAGCCTTGAATTCAGGATGCCAAATTCTTTAGTTTCCTTGTCTTTGCACCAGAGACAGACAGCAGATATGTGTTTGTGATTTGAGACTGATTGGAAGTTCATCTCTGTGAAATACGTTTACAAAGACGTGGGAAGCTAATTTAAATTAGCTGTATTAAAAAGAATGCACCAGTGACTCAGTGTCCAGAGAGAGAGGCCACCCCACTCTGGAGTACAGAGCACAGTGATGAGTTGGTGACAAAGCTTAATAGACTGTGATAAACAGTCCAACATATGAAGACACTGTGCAGGTGCTTTCATATACTGTATAACAGGTCGCTGAAACCAAGAACCTTTATGGCTTCCAAGGAAAACCAAAACTCGGGTTTGAAATAAAACCCTAACTTCCATCTTAGTTTGTTCACAAGGTTTTGACCATGTTTCTTGAAAGGACCAGTCAAGCTGCACATGATCTATTGTCTTCTCTTGAGGAGTGCCAATCGTGGCAAAATAGCTAGAAAACAACATGAACTTAGCTTTGTCTGCATTAAATATGAATTTTGACATTTTAATGGTTGAATTCTGTAACTGGTTTTGGCTCGGGCAGCAGCCGGAGGGAATCCCTGATAGCTTTGAAGTTAAAAACCCTCAGCGACTTGTAGCACTGCTCTGATGTGGGCTGATGGCAACCACAAGGATCTGACAGCTTTCTGGCACGTGATTGGCTGCCAAACCTATAGCTTCCTGTCTGGGGCCCCTCTGCCTCACCAAGGAGGAAATGAGGAGAAGAAGAAGATGGTTGCATCACAGGAGTTGGGTTTTAGTGTCTACTGCTTGTTGAATGTTAAGAGAGACCTAAATTAAAATCCACCCTGCCCACCTAATTCTCTGATGTTATTTTAGTTCCTTAAACCAGAGGAATCAGAAAAAGAGTTGCCACCAGAAAAGGAAACTTAAAATAGTTTAATAATTCTTCATTCAAGAGTTTTCCTTTTAAACTGATAAGTTAAATGAGCCAAGAATGGAGGTTGTTCTGGATTTTTAGAAGAAGCCACATGTTGAATCAAAGTCAAAACTTCAGTCCAAAGCTGACATAGCATCAGCCAATTCAAACACTTGCTCGCTGAGTTGGAAACTGAGTGACATAGTCCAGTGGTTACATCATCAGAGTGAATGGACATAGCATTTATGTGGTGAGATGGGAAATCTATCAACATTAAAAGTGGATAAACTGATGACAAAATATGGATATTATTTTTGAGCAGTTATAAAGAGCTTCATATTACTCCAAAGCATGACAACTTATGTTTTTAACTTGTAGTAATAATAATGTAACACTTTGGACCTTAATTGTAGTGACTCTGGTGCACAGCTTGCTCCTGGTCCCTGGCAGGATATGGTCATGTTAAAACTTTTATATGATTTTGGTGATTTTTTGACCCCCCCCAACCTACTACAACTCCTCTGCCATTGTCATGGTTTAAGGTTATGTTTGCAGCCTTGGTGGTTTTGGATAATGGTGCCCTGCAAACTAAAAAATACACATCCCTGGTAATAATTTTTTTTGTCCTCAGTTCCCATTGAGTATTTCAAAGGAAGGGCCTTTATGTGGAAGCTTTCATTCTTTTTTTGTTCATCTATTTAGTCTGCAGTTGTCCGGAAATTGTTAATCCACATCAAACTTAATCGCATTACACTCATGGGAGGCCATTATAGTGGGTTTAGCTTTGATGTGGTGAGGATGCCAGCAGCATCGGCAGCTAACCAGAATACTTTAGTGTGTCACGTTTCACACTTTATTCTGAGGTTGTTAGTGCCCACAGATGGTAGATGTCATCCTAGTAGATTTTTAATTTAATGAATAGATATTTGCATTTTAGTGTTTCCCTTAAGGGGTGTTGCTCTACAAGCATGTGACTCATATTTATGGGTGTTGTTGGAGGAATAGCATCAACAGATCTTAGCATTGTTATAATCTTTATTCTTGTTTGCCTTGTTATCTCTAAGTTTGGACCTCTTTGGCACCCGATATGATGTTCATATAGCCATTTTGATTTGTTTGTGCAGGCAAACTAAGCATTTTTGTTTTGTTACTTTTCAAGATTCTAAACAAAATGACTTGTGACTGCAAAGACCTGACTGGCGCAGCTATTGCAGAATGCAGACTTTTGCATTATATCAGAATATATAGCCAGAAAATAAATTCATGTTTTCTCTTCCAACTTCACCTTCATGTCAGTCAGATGAGCTGTGATGCAGGAAGAACCACCTTCTAGTTGTTAAACAGTCAGCTTTGCTGACTTGTGTACAGCTCTCTTACCAACATGTCTCCGTTTTGACTGTGGGTTTATCTGCTTTCTACAACAAGGCAGGGTTCTTTTCTAATTGTGTAACTGGAGACCAATACTGGAGACCAACGGTGACAAATCCACACTTTAGCGGACAATGACTGATTATCTAGTATCAGGATCACTGCCAAACATTTTCCTCTACGAAACCTGGACTAAAGGATCACATGTTCTCGCTCTCTGCCTCAGCCAAACATGCCTTTTCAGTTTAATCTACTTCAAGGAGGTGCTCGGCAAACTCTCAGCTCCCATTCATGTGGGAACAAGGTGCACATTTGCGCGAATTCCTGCCAACAGGATACATCAGAGATGTGGCTGTCAGGGTGTGCGTGTGTGCATGTGTGCGTGCGCGCGTGTGTGTGTGTGTGTGTGAAGGCTGGAGGTGCTGGAGACAAGTGCTGTGGATAAGAAGGGAGATCCTTCTGGTTGCTGATAGCGGTGGTGCCAACAGCAGCACCAAAGACAGACAGACTGGAGGTCAACCTGGGTCTTTATCTGTTTCTTTGAGTCAGGCCCTGTCTCACCGTTTCAAGCCAGCATCCCGTCTCTGTCTATCTTTAACTGTGATCAAGCTGGGCATGAGATAGATAAGCTCTCTGGGCTAATCAACACACTGTTACTCGTGGCCAGAGAGGTGATTCCCAACCAGGGGTCCATGTATCCCAGGGCTACGTCTGCTGTTGCCAGTGCTTATGTGGAAAAACTGTAGCATAGAGCAGCTAATTTGGGGAGGAAAAAAAATATATGATTCGATTTAAAAAAGCAAATGTGTCAACTGTACTGTAACACCTGAACATTAGATGTTATAATTGAGAGCGTGTGAAAAATTAGCAAGAGCAGAAAAGTCTAAACAGTAAACTAAAACAATTGATAGATGGTTTGAATAGTTAAGATCATCTTAAAGTAATGGTTTGAACTTTTAGCTAAGAATAACAGATTGCAGAGTATTACAAGTAAAGGTTTGGTAAATATTGTTGAATTAGCTAAAGTAATGGAGAAATGGTTGAAATTAAGCTCTTTTTATTTTTATTAATGGAATTAAAAACCAAAGCCAAGGCATTATTTGTGCATTCAATAGTCTTCCATTTTGTTGAATAGTTCACAGGGTTTCCGTCTTAAATTGACTTTCAACTTTAAAAAAGTCATAAAAATATTTGACCATTTTGATTATTTTAACATTAAGTTGACATTACTTTGTTAATTTCGGTCATGTTTTTTGGGAAAATGTTTAAGTGTAGTACCACTTACCGTTTGTTGGTTCTATATTGTAGTTCTCTCTCATCAGTTTGTATTTATCGCACTGTAACGAACCTAACAACCAGCTTGGCATCCATCACGTTTAAAAACTTTGCAACCTTGTCAGAATTTATCAGAGAACACTCAGCACATTGTGATGTGTGAGATGAAGCTGGATGCCTCCCAAAAGGGGCTGTTTCTGTTACTTTCATTGACCTAATATGAGGAAGTACAAGTCCAATGAGAATCTAATTCTTGGCTTCTTTCTCTGCCATATGAATCTCAAAGTCATCTTGTCCTGCTCTGCATTCTACAGTTTCTTGTTGCTAATGTTGGAACACATGCATTTTAATAGTTCAAACAATTCTGGTTAGCTATTGATATATTAATAAAGAGCTTGGGTTGTCTGAAAGTTTTGTAAAACGGAAACTTGGTCAGAAGTTTATTTAAAAATGCCCTGTGTTGAAAGCTTTTTCTGCATCCAGGCCACTATGGCTGTTTCAGTTTGTTCCTGGTTTATGTGGTGAATCTCAAGCAAAGGGCGTCGGGTGTTGTCCTGAGTTCATTTTATGAAGCCTGCTGGGTCTAATTTGATGATTTGAAGTAAAATATTTTGCATCTCTTCAATTAGTAATGTAGCAAAGATTTTATAGCCCTGGTTCTGAAGGCTCACAGGTTTGTAGTTTGAGTGCTTCTTCCTTGGGAATAACCGTTTTCACTGCCTCCTGCCTTATACTACTGTTTCCATTCATCCCAGGACGTTTACTAGGTTTAAGCTTACAAATAGCTGTTTTCAGTTCCTTACTTATAAGGCATCATTTAGGGTGTTGAATACTACCTGACACACTTGACCAAAACGACCTACAGTCCATTTGTGTAATTAATAGTGTTATTTAACACCCAGTCAATTAAAATGAACACATTTTGTAAATATCAGATGGTAATGAAGATTAGTACTTCATCTGACAGGGCTGTGGGATGACCTCAGACTTTAGAGAGAGTGTGTGCATGTGTCTGTTTAAGTGTGCTGTACAGACACAGCCTACTTGTTTATGAATTGCATGTATGTATGTGTAGTTAAATGGCCTGCAAGACAATGCCCCAGGGAGCAAAACTTGCTGGAACTCTAGGTTGTTGTCTCAGTCAGTACTGAAAAGGCCTTGAATCAGACACATGTACAGTAAACACACCTATGTGCTACATGGATCTGTTGTATTTTATAAATGAATTGCATCAAAAGGAATTCAAGCATTTCATAAGTGCAGGGCAGATGACTGAAATGTTGACTGAAGTCTAGTATTTGCAGAAAGTGTATCGCTCCCCCACTCACACCTAATCATGTCTTCTGTCTGTCAGAGCGCCATATGTGCTCTTTGTTTGAACCCATATAATATACAGTAGATGTCTTGTACGCCTGCTACATGTGTACTAACACTGGCATTCCATGTATTTCAATTAAATTTATTTTAGCAACATAGATAAAGTGAGCACCTTGAACAGAATCACAGTATTTCCAGAACTTGAGAGAGGGGGAGGAACAAAACCAAAGCTAGCATGACGATGTGAGGTTATGAAAACACATCCGACACATGTGGCCTCAGTGAGAGGCAGTCAAGTAGAATCAGTGACTTGGAGGAATTAGGGAGTCATGATTGTGGCATGGAACTTGGGAGCGCTGAACAGTAAGAAGTATGCCAGTTGCAGCTGGTGCTCTTTAGAAATTAGGACAGATGCCAGAAGCTTACTCTACCTCGTAGTGTACTCTCTCCCTCCCCTCACTCTTTCACTCTGTTGGACACAATATCGCAAATGTGTCCAGTGAGACTTAAAGTAAGGAGGAGTTTGAGTTTTTATGTACAGATGGAAAGAAAGCAGAGGTAGAGTAAAGGAGTAAACCTGTTCCCCTGAGAGCTCCAAGCTGGACTAATGCCAGCCGTATGTTATGTATTTCGAAGTGTTTCTTTAGCAGCTTAAGTGGGCTGAACCCAATACACTGGCACAGTGGCCTACATTTTCTTTGGCCTAGTGTAGCTAAGTAACACATTTGTGTCTAGAGGTAACTTTAGAAGACCTCCACCCCCAAAATCTGGATATAGAGTTTTCTCTGGCACAGGAATTTCCTAATGTGATAAGGGCAATGTTGCAGCAGGAAGGTGAAGATATGACTCCTGAGTCAATCTTTGTGTGTAACCACCAAGAAAATAATTTCCATTGTTTCCCGACTTAAAGGTTTGACAAGATGTCACGAAAACAAGAGAATTGACCTTTAGACTTTCCTAGAGCCCGAAGTGGCATCTTTTCAGTTGCTTGGTTGTTTTTTGAAAAGCATGGCAAAATGCAAAAATATTCCATTTCCAATGATGTAAAAAGCAAAAAATGCTCACACTTGCAAATCAAACCAAAGAATGTTTGCAATTTTTTTTGATGAACCATTAATGAAACACAATCATTGATTTTTGAACAGTGAACAGTGGCTTAATCAGCTGCTTGCTCCTGGAGCATAAATGCACTGTTGTGAGTAGATGGCACGTGGGATTTTCTAGATGTACTGCAGCACACCCCTGAGTGTTCTTAGTGTACATTGTATCACAGTTTGCATGCATATTGAACATCTCATCTTTCTCCAGGAGTTCCCCTGATTGATGGAGGCACAGTACGGCTCCCACGTCTCATTGGTCTGTCAAGGGCCCTCGATCTGATTCTGACTGGACGGCCAATCGGAGCGCAGGAGGCTCTTGCCTATGGACTGGCTAATAGAGTTGTTCCTGATGGCCAAGGTATTGCACATTCAGTTTGTGATCAGAAGCAAAAAAAATACTCTAATATTACACCATGTATTATTTTGGCAAACATCTTTATTTATCCTTGTTACCGTTTAGCTGCGTGACTTTCAAAACTTCAGTGAAGCACCTGTGATGTTTAAAGCTTCTGATGTCATTGGTCATGTGGGTTTCTTCATTTGATACAAGCTCCAACACATTGTATTGAAATGTGCTTCGCTGCAGTGAAACATGCTTCAGTATAATCCGCTCATCTCTAGTCATCTGTCTAATAATAACTGTGATTGTGGTGCTTTTGTGGATTCATCACACAAAACATGTTGAGTGAAGTAATATTAATAAATGTATTAAAGTGCTGTCCAGTGCAGCAGTCAAGGATGGTAATAGTGTGTTAACAGTTTGTTGTGGTTAGTATTGCAGGACATTTGATAGTGAATGGTAGAGATGAAGACCAGATATGGGAGGGGCTGGAAGTCCTCTGTCTGCTGGGGGAGTAGAAATTGTAATTCACTGTGAAGAACAGTCATGGAGGCACCAAACGCAAACAGGCATGTGACCCATTTCCATTTAGGAAGCATAGTTTTAGCAAACTCTCTTATAGGTGAGATCAGATTGAATCATGTATAATCTAAACTTGTTTCTGTGAATCCATTTTCCTTATTTCACTCCCACAACTCACTGATACTAGAACTTGCCATCAACACTGTCTGCTCCTGTCTTGTTGAGTAGCGGTCTGAGGATTAAGTTATGTGTGCAATTCAGCCTGGTATTATAGTAATGTGTGAATGCTATTATATCCCAAAAGCCTTTCCATGTGCTCTGCATGGCTTGATCTGCAATTACCTCCCATCTTCTTAGGAGATTAGCTTAATTTTTTTAGGAAGCGCCTCTTCCCACAGTCAAGTCTACACCTAATTGGTCTCACTGTGGGATGATCACTTGGCACGGCTTTAACATCAGAAGAAAGCAAAGACGTAACAGCTCACATACACACAGAGGATATCAGAGTGTGGCATCATGAGGCATACATGTACTTTTTTCCATAGGACTGATCTGGATGTGGTCCAGGGCTTTCATGTGGGCAAGGAGGCAGAGTGGCCTCGGTAAAGCTCTCAGAGACACAGCAGCAGGGAAAAGGAAGGGCTGGCAGTTTTGGTTTTTGTTACAAGAAGGCATTGCCCACCATGTATTTCCTGTTATAATTGGCCACATTCCCGCT